AAAAAAAAAAAAAACTAATTTTTATGTGGGGGGGTTTGGGTGAGTGATGGTATTTAAAAAAAGAAAAAAGAAAAAAAAAAAAAAGCTTTTTTGCTTTTTTTTTTCCGTTGATTAATTGATTGATTGATTGATTTATTGATTGATTGATTGATTGGCCCCACAGGCGCACACACACACACACAGAGGTAGGATTGTATATTACCATGTCCTAGCGGAAAATTCATTCCATTTTGCTTTTTTTTTTTTTTCAATTGATTGGTTGATAATACACATTTTGTTAAAAGTGAACCTTTTGATTTTTCACTTTTTGTAAAAAAGCCAGAATTCATGTTGGAGCGACGTAAATAAGAATAAATCGAAACAGTGGTGCCATTTGCAACGTCGTGTTGCACGTGTGCTATGCCATGGGGTGTGGAGCATTTCCCAGAGCGACGCCCAGGTGGTGTATGAAGCGACGGACAGGCGGGACGTGGGAGGATCTGTGGCAATGCGACGACGTAATGGCGGACTACTTCATGGACAAGATGCGCACGTCGCGACGTGTGTTCCGAGAGATCACGAAAGCTTTGTCTCCCTTCCTTCAAAGGCGTGTCACTTTCTATAGGGAGCCCCTCCAGCCTGACCACATTGCCGCGTACGCTTTGTACAGGTGGGCGTCGGGGGAGACGTACGAGTGCGGGACATGCAGCTTCGGCATTCGCAAATCTTCTACGTTGGTGGATGTGCGGGATGTAACTGCGGCGTTGCGGAGTGCGTACCCCAACAAGATATCCTGGCCGACGGGGCTGCAGAAGACGATCGTCTTGCGCGCTTTCGATGACAAGGGTTTCCATAACTGCCATGGGTGCATCGAATGCACCCACATCTTCATCGACAAGCCACTGAATTGCCCCGGGGAGGACTACTACGATAGAAAATGGTGTTTCTCTATCCAGGCGCTGGTCGTTGTCGATTTGAACTTGCGCATGCTGGATGTGTTCATCAGTTTTCCGGGAAGTTGCCACGACGTGAGGATCGTGCACCTGTCGAGTTTATGGGCGTGCGCTGAGGCAGGGGGGGTTTTCACTAGGCCACCTGCTATGCTGCCTTTCGGTGTGCAGACGAACGGGTATTTGCTGGGCGACAATGGTTATCTCTCCTCTGAATGGGTAGTCGTCCCCTACGACAGTTTCTCACAGCACCCGTGGGAGTTGCGCTTCGACAACAAGCAGAAGACGGCGAGGGGAGGAGTTGAGAAGGCTTTCGGCAGACTGAAGGGGATGTGGAGGTTGTTCCTTCGCTCGCACAAGACGAACATCGAGACGTTGCCACAGCAGCTCGTCGCCGTCTGCATTCTGCACAACATACCCATCGACGTGGGTATCCCCTTCGACGACAATCTACTGTGGGAGGTCGGGCCGGACGGTGTGTGTCGCAAGGTGGATCTTAGGATGCAGCGGCCCTTGAGGCCGATGTGTATGGAGTCGTCGACGGGGATGCGCTCATTCTGCGGGACGCACTAGTAGAGAGCATGAGTGCGCAGTGAACACGGCCAGGCATGCGGAGCGGGCGGCTGCGATGGCGTGGCTGTTGTGTGTCTTTTTAACGGGGAACGGGGGAATTAAACTCCCGTTGAATCCCGTTGAATTCGCGTTAAATGCGAAAATGGGCCGCTCCCTCGCTTTTCGGACAAATGGAATTGATGCGCGGGGAACACGTGGTCCTAGGCAAATAAAAAATAAAAAAATAAAAAAATAAAATCCCCCCAACCCCTGAAGCACCTCCCATCTGCCCCCACATCCCCCAACCCCAACGCCCCAGTTATGTGTGTGCAGGTATGTTGTGTGTGCACGTATGTGTGTATGTGTATGCCTGCACGTGAGAGTGTCTCTGTGCATGAATATGAATGTATGTGCGTGTGTTTGTGTATGTGTGTGTTTGTAAGTGTGTGTGTGTGTGTGTGTGTGTGCATAATTGTTGGCGTGTGTGCATTGTTTCCCTTTTGAGGGATATAGTTTTTTCCCGTTGAAAACTGGGGGCGGGTGATTTGGGTCTGTGTTTTTTTTTTTTTCTCTTCTGCTACATCTTCCCAAAGATACAGTATCCAAACATTCTGTTGTTTGTTACCAAGTGACGAAATCTAGGACGGAMTGCCATGCCTCGTTGGCAGGGCTTGCTAAGAAAAGAAAAGAAAAGAAAAACGTACTTACCTTTGCCATGAATCTGGTAGAACATAGGTAGATACGCTACTAGTAGTTTAGAGCTTGAAATGTCATTTTTCCTGGCGACGTGTGGGGCGCCACAGTTTTCAGTTTTTTTTTTTTTTTTTTTYTTTTTCCCTTTTGCGATCCAAGAATCTGGGCTCCGTCTAGCGGCCTAGCTCAGTTGATTAGGCACGCAAGTGGCATTCAGGAGGTTGTGGGTTCAATCCCCGACTATGACACTCTCGATGCCAACCAACTGAAATAGTCAGCTGGATCCTCCTTGTTCAATCAATCAATCAAGAAAAAAAAACTGAAAATTCTTTTTTTATTGATTGATTGATTGATTGGTAGGGGATGGGTCGCCCCCCACCTTCCACCCAATCTCACACACACACACACACACACACACACACACACACACACACACACACACACACACACACACACACACACACACACACACACACANGTTTCGGTACGGGGTGGCGGCTGCGTGTCGGCGGGCACGGCGAACGTACATGTACGCGTCCGAAGCAGCAGACACGCCGTCACACGATCGCCATCTTTGTCGTCTTCGCAGGCGCACCTTCGTCGTCGACATGTACGCTGTGCACTCCGGTCGTCACTCGCAGCATCACTGTTGTGACGCCCGGCACACGTGGAGTCTTCTGTACTTGGCAACGCCCACGTCGACAGTACCAGTTTTGGCGATGGCCATGAATGGGGAGGTGGGCCGTGACACACTGAGCAAGGTGGAGAGGATGGCGGTGGCAGCAGCCGTGAATGCCATCCTCTTCCAGTGTCAATTGCAAAGGAGCGAGGGGAGGATGAGAGCGACCATTCGCGCACGGCGGAAGAGGAGGCTGCAGTCCATGAATGTGGAGGGAGAGGACAGTGGTGCCATTTGCAACGTCGTGTTGCACGTGTGCTACGCCATGGGGTGTGGAGCATTTCCCAGAGCGACGCCCAGGTGGTGTATGAAGCGACGGACAGGCGGGACGTGGGAGGATCTGTGGCAATGCGACGACGTGATGGCGGACTACTTCAAGGACAAGATGCGCACGTCGCCACGTGTGTTCCGAGAGATCACGAAAGCTTTGTCTCCCTTCCTTCAAAGGCGTGTCACTTTCTATAGGGAGCCCCTCCAGCCTGACCACATTGCCGCGTACGCTTTGTACAGGTGGGCGTCGGGGGAGACGTACGAGAGCGGGACATGCAGCTTCGGCATTTGCAGATCTTCTGCGTTGGTGGATGTGCGGGATGTAACTGCGGCGTTGCTGAGTGCGTACCCCGACAAGATATCCTGGCCGACGGGGCTGGAATGGAGAATATCGTCTTGCGCGCTTTCGATGACAAGGGTTTCCATAACTGCCATGGGTGCATCGAATGCACCCACATCTTCATCGACAAGCCAATGAATTGCCCCGGGGAGGACTACTACGATAGAAAATGGTGTTTCTCTATCCAGGCGCTGGTGAACTTGCGCGTGCTGGATGTGTTCGTCAGTTATCCGGGAAGTTGCCACGACGTGAGGATCGTGCACCTGTCGAGTTTATGGGCGTGCGCTGAGGCAGGGGGGGGTTTCACTAGGCCACCTGTTATGCTGCCTTTCGGTGTGCAGACGAACGGGTATCTGCTGGGCGACAATGGTTATCTCTCCTCTGAATGGGTAGTCGTCCCCTACGACAGTCTCTCACAGCACCCGTGGGAGTTGCGCTTCGACAACAAGCAGAAGACGGCGAGGGGAGGAGTTGAGAGGGCTTTCGGCAGACTGAAGGGGATGTGGAGATTGTTCCTTCGCTCGCACAAGACGAACATGGAGACGTTGCCACAGCTGTTCGTCGCCGTCTGCATTCTGCACAACATACCCATCGACGTGGGTATCCCCTTCGACGACAATCTACTGTGGGAGGTCGGGCCGGACGGTGTGTGTTGCAAGGTGGATCTTAGGATGCAGCGGCCCTTGAGGCCGATGTGTATGGAGTCGTCGACGGGGATGCGCTCATTCTGCGGGACGCACTAGTGGAGAGCATGAGTGCGCAGTGAACACGGCCAGGCATGTGGAGCGGGTGGCTGCGATGGCGTGGCTGCTGTGAGTCTTTTTAACGGGGAACGGGGGAATTAAACTCTCATTGAATCCCGTTGAATTCGAAAAATTCCCGTTGAATTCGCGTTAAATGCGAAAATGGGCCGCTCCCTCGCTTTTCGGACAAACGGAATTGATGCGCGGGGAACACGTGGTCCTAGGCAAAAAAA